ATTACTGTCTGGTTTTTTTTTCCACTTTAGATTTTTTTTTGGTTTTCATATTTTCTCCCTCTACCCGCACACGCAAGAGGCCATAACAGTTTCGTTTTACTTTTCGTGATTTATAATAGTGAGATACCGAACATCATCTGGCTGCATGTCGAAACCATATATAAATATATCGATTCAGCAGCCATATATATTATGTATAATAAATATATTGCACTATTATTATTGTCCTTGCTCGTACAACCGATTTTGACTATCACAGTGTTTTTTTTTTTTATTAATACGAAACTAATGCTCTATGATACAAAATTGAAATTGAAAAAATATTGATACCTCATACCAATAACCACCATTTGAGTTCCGGTACCGGCTTGAATGTTATTTAATATATTCTATATGTAAGAGGTGCATAATTAATTTTTAATTTATCGTTAAGTTTAATAACAACGCTACCTAACAAACTATATTTGTATTTATCTCGTCTTGGTGTTGTATACGTATCTATACTTAAATTTAAAATATATTACCTACTCTAAAAGGTCGAGCCCTTGACCATTTTATATCTCGAAGCGATCTGCATAATTTTTTATTATTATTATTTCAAACATGTACGATGTACCTATTTTAGTAACTTTAGTTATCCAATAAAAAAAAAACATTGCTCTAGGGGATTCAGAAATTGTGTACCTACTTACGTGAACGGAATTCATTTCACACAAACTAGCTGCGTATTTATAAATCAAAATTATAATTCGCAATAAGGTTATTATTAGTCATTAACACCTTTAATAGTTTAACTACCGAAGATTTCCCTCGCGGACATTCGATTTTGTATTTTATCCAAAATAAGCATAATATTATTATTATTAATTACTTCAATCTAAAATTGTTTAATTCGTACAAAACATGGTTGTTTGATGAAACGTACAAAATTACTTTTCTTCTGACATTCGGAAATGAACACAATAAAAAATATTTTGAAACATTTCAAGTTTCTATGGTAAAATACATCAAAACAATTTTAATGCGTTTATTTAAACAACCACTCTGTCAGTAATTCAACAAACACAAAAAATAAACTGTCAATACAATATAGGTAGCATATAGTTTGTAATTACATAAGTTTGACAACTTCAAACAGTCAACAAAATGTCAAGGTATAACACCGGACTGTTGGCGTTAAAGTTTTGAGTATAAAACTTATATTACTTCACGGGCTTATTAAATTTAAAAGCATTTTGTAAATGAAAAAACAAAAAAAAAAAAATATTAAACGCGGGCCCCGTCCTGTTGAACTTTTTAAAGGGTTTATAGTACTCGGGGGACAAATCTAGTACGAAATGGTCTTATTTTTGGCACGATCGTTGGAATTTTTACTTGCGACAGATTTATTGGGGAGCCAGACACCCGTTCTTCACTCGGGTTCTAATAAGAAATTTCCTGTTGCCAATGATACACACCGGCTTCTCTCTCTCGCCCCCTCCCCGTATACCATCACCGCCAGTCTCTCCCTCGCTCTATTTCACTCTCCCTCTGTGTGTGAATGTGTGCGTGTGTGCACGTGTGTGTGCGTAATGTGCGTGAGTTTCTATCTTTTTTTTTTTTACGCCCGGTAAAAATAAACCAACTGCACGGCGACATTCCATTCCGAGGTACACGCTAAAAATGCATCGTCCGCCGACGTCGTCGCCTTGCATATAATCTTGTCACACATATATAAATCGTTGGCCTTAACTCGGTGTATTAACCATTCCTGTCTTAAAATATACAGAGTGATTTCCATACCGCAGACGGTCCGTCCATTCCACCGACTCGTATATGTGTACTTCCCCTGGTCATACGTGTATATTATTGTGTACACAGCTAATCGCAGATTATTAATAATAATTATACGTACTTAAATAAGTTCGTATCTGTAACGACACTTCTATAATTATAATATGTTTTGTAAAAACGGCGCGACGTTTAAATGTATAACGCGCACAAGACGACTGCACTGTAATAAATTATTCATAACGATGTATCGGTAATTTATTTGAATTAACCGCACCCTGTATTCTCGAAATAAATATACGGATCTTGCGGACTCACCATCTTCTTCGATTATATAAAAGTTCAAGACTTCTACAATAGACTATAGAGTACAAACTATTTCCTTCGTACAAAATAAATTACAGTTTCAAACATTTTCGTTTCACTTTTTTTTTTATCAATTTGCTTTACGTGTATAAATTTAAATTAGCCTAATTTTACTCAGTTTTTTTGTTCAAAATATTGTGTTCTCAGTATATTAGCAAAATTACTTTCGTTATTAATTATTATATATACATTTGCTGCTTCAATACAAAATTCGTAATATTTTCCCTTTTCATCGTTCCGTTCCACACGCGCCGTCGTGTATACACATATTGTATTATATAGGTATGTAAAGTGTGTACCTTTACAAAATTAAAAAATAGAAAAAACCTAGTTTTCACTAATTTGACCCAGTTTTGTTGAAACAAAGCACTGATGAGAAAAATGCATAAGTATGCCACATGATAATAATGTACATTATTGTAATTCCGCCGTTTTTCAAATTCTTGTTTTATATGGTAGGTAGTATTGTCAGAGATTTTTCCAAATTGCATTTGGTTTTTTTCATTCTTTTCGATACACATGCAAGACGGTTGCGCCGTTAGAACGAAAAGAACAACGCCACTCGGATGATGATTTATCGTTCGGTTACGTGATCAGTAGACGTCTTTAAAACGGTTCCCAGACGCGGTAATCGATTTATTTCGTAACGTCGCCGAAAAACACTCGAAAATTATTATTATATTATATCGATACCGCAAAACGAATTCCGACGAAACTTGTCGTTTCAACAACGACGGTAATACCGGCTATTGTCCAGTGCTTTTTGGTGCCATGCCTAATGCGGGGTTTCGAACGAAACGCGGTCGACGGGTTTCCAACCCCGTTTGGGGAGTCGGTGGGGGGGGGGATGGGGTGTAGGTGTACCGCAATCGAACGTCCTGCGCGTTTTTCCTGCACTGCAGCACTGCACCGCCGGCACCTCGTTAGCGCTATACAAATCGACCAAATTCGTCTTATTGTTCACGCATCATGTGTTTCCACATTGTTGTGCACATAATAATATATACAGGTATTATATAGGTATGTAGTGTAGGGTTCTGCTTGTAAATATAATAATATATAATGTATAATGCAGGTATATATAATATATAGGCAAATGCTGCGGATTGTCAGGAGGTGCAGCGCGCGCGCGCGAGTGTGTGTGTGTGTGTGTGTGTGTGTGTGTGTGTGTGTGTGTGTGTGTGTGTGTGTGTGTGTGTGCGAGTTGGAACCGGTCCAAATATGGTAAATCGAGTTTAGTATCGGAAGGGTTGTGCGTTTGTGTACACGCCTACGTCTGTGTGTGTATATATATGTATTTATATTAGACATACACATAAAATACATATAAAGTATACAAGTGAGTTTGCGTGTGTGTGCGTGAAAGGTGCCGGCAGATCGGAATTCCTCTCGCCGGACCAATGGAAGTCCAGCATTTCATTTGGATGAGTCATACGCGTTGCACCGGTCCTCGCCCCGACGACGACGACGACGACGACGACGACGATGTGCACGCCGCCGTCGTCTCGTAATCTCAGGTGGCGCTACTAGGCGCACCGATCCGTCTGGTCGGTATTTCGGGTCTCGCGAGTATACGCGTTATATTATTATAATGGGTGCGTATTATATTGTTATTATGCCGCCCGAACCATTCAGTAAAACCGTGTCGGAGATATCCGATCGCCCAAAGTCATTGATATCTGCGGGGGAATCGCCATATCATTTGAATTCCACGAGTTCGGACCACCTGGTCATTCGTTTCATCTCTCCGGAGAGAGACAAAGAAACGACGTTCGGTTTCGGCGTATACCACGACGCACGGGACGTATACCACGACTCATGAGGTTACCTATATATATATATTCCGACAGCATCATTTACTCATTACGCCCGATTAAGGTATTGCACAAAAATATGCATCCAACACATACACACTGCACATAGGTATAAAAACAATTGTAAGCGTTCGCCGATTTCGTTATCGGAGTAAAAAAACGATATAAATATGATGGCAAGCGTGACCTCAATTTAACATAACACGCTAAGGAAGCTTGTTAACTATTATTAAATGCATTGGTGTAATGTGTTATTACTTATTATAATATACCTAGGTAATAATAATTATTAAAACACTATTAAAATATGATAAACAAAACATAATCAAACGAAAGCGTTACGATTTTTTCGTACGTTGATACTATTACGATGATTATTAGTACAAACTGAATAAACTAACGAAATGAAACACAAGTACAACCAGGAAACGAATATAATAAAGAAATTTAATCTCTGTTCGGCCAGAAGAAAATACGTGTAGGTATCCAGTACCTGCCTGTATGCAATACGATTAAATTAACATAAGCGTGATGTTTAAATAAATCTACAACGGATGATATCAGTGGTGTCATATAAATTTTCTTTTAATGCTCATATTTGTATGTAAGCCATACAAACCCTGTCTAGAACTTATCCTTTTTCAGACCAGTCAATATAAGAAGTACCTTAATATTGACACCTTGGGCCGTTCAAATGACGCACTGGGGTGATCATATATACAAAATTATAATTTTGATTCCTTCGTGGCTTGTATCCCGTATAGGTGTAATTACTATATATAGTATACGCATGGTATTCAAACGTAAAAGAAGATAAAAAAAACAAAAAAGCGGAAACGCGGAGACCGACAAATTTACCAAATGACATATTGTCCCAAAACCATTGAGTCAACATGTCCGTGAGAGAATAATAATACTCAGGGTAGTACTGACTATTATATAGAGTTAAAAGTAGGTAGGTATATTATACAACAAATGTGTACGTAACATTTAAAACCATCTCAAGTGGTGTTCGGGCATATTATTATGTAAATGTAAAATCCAACTCACGTTGTTTTGTATGTCGGAAGCGTGGTTCATCGCGTACATGATGGCTTCGGATATCCTCGAGTGCAGGGATCTGAGCAGGTCCTCCAGACACACCGACGACTGACCGTTGTTGATGGCCGACACCAGCCGGTCGACGGCCTCGTAGTATCCGGTCCACGGCGCGTCCAGGTGCGCCGTCTCCCTGGCCAGACACCCGCGGATCACGTTCACGCACAGCCCGTGACACGGTTTCGCGTCCTTGCCGTCGCACCACGAGCACTGTCTCATCCGGGTCAGCGCCGCCGAACACTGTTCCGTATTTCCGTAGCCCAGCCACGATCGGGAGTGCTCTTCGTCCACCAGTTGCCCGCCATATCTGAGTCATACAATGATATTATTCGTCATTGTGCTCGAGTAATGACATTTTACACTTTATTGACATCCGCGCAATCTCAACATTACCTATACGAACGGTTTGCTGAACGCATCGTTATCAATTGGTTAGGGTTGGTGTAGGGGGCGGGGACGGGGACAAATCTACACAGTGTTTGGCAGTAATCAGTTGAGCGTCGCAAGTTACCCAACCAAGATATATTGTATTAGAATTCGTGACTGTATAGTGTATACTGTATAGTAGCTTATAATAAATTACGTAATTTGCAGTTTTAATTAAAATATACGTGTAGTATATCTTATAGTTACATTTAAATAATTAATAATCGGACGATATCAAAACTATTTTTGTATTTTAAAAATTAAAATATTTTATGTAATGATAATTACCATATGAAATTTGATATATTTTTAATTAAAAAAAAAAAAACAACAATAAGACTATTTCCTATTCTATTCCATAAAACGTGTTATTTCATATACTCACTGCTGACTATATAATAGATAACATTTATGAAATATTATTACACTCTAACCGTACACGTTAGTTATTACTTACGTATACTGTTTTAGTACATTTTATAATAATAAATTATTTTTTTACGGACGTTTTAATAAATGTCAATGACAATCGTTAGTTGTATACTTTTAACATTTTGTTTTCTCAAAGAAATAAACATATACACAATTAAGTGACTTTTAACTTTCAATGTGACTGTAAATAATTCTATAACCAGTTACAATTAGTCTAGTAACTAACTCATCTCTGAACTTAAGTAATAGGGTTGTCACGATTATAGAGCATTATTTTGGGACAATGGGTGTATAATATTATTATAATTTATAATTCCACTTAGTATGGATTATATAATAATATTATGAAAATTCGGTTAGTCATCAAAATGGAAACATAAAGACTGAAGAAATCAGGTTTCGAGACAAATCTAAGACAAACCTATCGTTATCGTCTATTTAAATACTTTATTACCTGAGTGCGTGTACGAGTACGTTGGTGGCGGCAAACGTCCTGGAAATGTCCTTGGCCAGCGTGTACGGCACGTCACCGAACGGTTTAACGTCAAACGCTTTGCCAGCTAGACACTGGACGTAATCCTCGTCGAACTCGGTCGCGCCGCCGTCCGGTCTATCCGCAGCCGCGGCCACCGTCCGGTAGACGACCGGAAACAGGTCAGAGAACAGCCGGGAAGCCGCGTCCTCCAGGCTCGTCGCCGGGGTCGTTTCCGGGTCCTCGTGCACGTACCGCGACAGCCGCCCGTAAAAAGCGTCCAACGGACCCGTGGCAGGTTCTTCGATGCTCGCGTACACATCCGCCAGCACCCGAACCGTTTTGCTCTTGGACTTCCGGATCATGTGCGTCATGTGATCTGAAAAGATAGTTTTCAAGATATAATACATAATATATGTGCGTGTAAGTATACAATATGAGTATAAATAAGATCTTATACTATTGTATATTATAGTGTCACGCACGTTCTGCGGTAAGTACTAGGTATTATACACTACGTAAGACAGAAAGGACACATCATGTATTTAGATTTTAACGTTGTTCAAGAAAGACAAACAACTTAAAATCTCCGAGAAAAAAGTTGAATTACAAATATTGTCATATATCATGAAATAATACAGTAAAATACATGATATACAAATGTTTCTACAATCACTTAAAGAAATAGTATAAAACGTTATAGTTACTTAAAGAATTGAGGGTCGACAGATCGTGGACACGAACTGTACCTACATTTTAAGAAATCGCGTTTTCTTGTAGATAAAATAATAGTTTTAATATTACCAATAATTAAAACAACATTATATTGTATGTTATTTTACAGTAGATAATGAGTCACAAATATTTTATTTTATTATAATTTAAACTTCATATTGAAAATTAGAAATTCAATAATTGGAATATTTGAATTTAGTGTTATGTTCCTTTTCTCTAGCTCGAACCGTCTCAGTTTGTAGCGAAAATATATCGTTGTTCCTAAAATGATAGCAAAGCTGGTTCAGAAATATATATTATTTTGCTTTCAATGATTGGTAAGTTTGATGGGCATCTCGTGTGTTTTTCCTAATTTGAAATGGTAATAACGAATTCACTTGATTCAATTATTCAAAATTGGTCTTATACACAATATTATCATTTGTATAGAAACGTCAAAAAACAGTGGCGGGCTTACATTGATTACGCGTTTAATACGCATGCGATCGCCACTGATTTCGAAATTCAAACGACCCCGTCTAATATATTATAATGATATGAGGTCGCGACGGTAAAGTGATACCTTCTTTTATTATTATTACCGGGGAGGGGGGAGGGGGACAGAACCAGATTCTGGTTTTCTCGCGATTTGATGCGTCTTTGCGGTCTGTATATTATCCGCACGCACGCACGTGACTACATATTAGTATAATATGATATTATGCTGTTACACTGATTTAGTTGTATTCATTATTTCCATCGCACCAATTGATATCTACACGGCGCGGCGACGACGAGGATTGTGAAAACACATTCTAATATCTATTAATATTTCCGCCTAGACTTCCGCAAAAAAACGTTGTACTCAATATCAGAGCATATAAGAATAGATTGGTTCAAGTCGATCTCGTCGAACATTTTAATCGTATATCGCTATAAATCTAACCTATAATAATAAAAGAAAAAAGGTACACCTATTTGTATTTAAGGCTTTAAAGTGGCTGTTATGATAGCAATTAACAGTACTCAAATACTTAACAGCATTGCCCTCGACTATATAATAAACGAAAATACAATAAAAATATAATTTGCATACTACATTTGCATACATTGCAGTTTGCACAGACGACGAGTAGAATTTGAATCGAGTATGAAAAAAACGCAGAAATAATTACGTTCATATATTTTTATTACTGCGATTTGATTTCGAACAACTCGACATGGGTTTGTGTAATAGTGAATATAATTTATTATTATGGGTACCTACCTATATTAAAATATACGGATATAATATGTACGCGTATACATAGAGGATCATTAGCTAAATTCGTACCCGTTTTAGCTTATTATTTTTTATGTGCTTCCCAAAGAAAATGCACAATTTATTTATAACCACCGACGTACCTTGTAAAAAAAATAATAAAATATTGTAATGGAATAACTTATATAAAAATATATTTATCTCCTTCGACTGTTCATATTTTATAACATACGTACCTACCTACATTAAAAAATAATATTAAATTAGTAATCGTATGCTCCAATTATGTACAAGCAACAATATTATGATATAGCACACACATAAACGATCTTTAGCGAATATAATTCGTGTCTATAATTACTAATTAGGTATATCACATTGACGAGTACGCATACATTAACGCGTCGAACTTAATGGATCGTGTAATCATTTCGCTATGAATCCGAGTTGACGAATCTGACGACAATCGAAACGACTGATATCATAATATTATATTGTCGTATTATAATAATTATTTAGGTCAAGTTTCGGCGACACATGTTGCGTGCACCCCGGTGTGTCAAGAAGTAGCCGCAGCGGTTGCACATCAATAGGTACTTATGATAATATGTGCATTTGCCGACTAATCGACAACGAATATATGCACTGTCGTTGTAAGTATATTACTATATATTATAGTAGCATGGTATAGGGGGAGATCTATTTAACTTAATAAGACCCTCATTACTCATATTATTTCAGAAAACACTGACATTTTTTTACGTATTTATTTTACATAATCTTAAATAATTACAATTTGACATTTTTAGAAAAAAATTATAGTTTTTACTATTTTTAATAACTTTGTACATTTTAAATTTCCTATTCTGCAGCAGTAAACTATTAATCGGAGTACTTAGATCTAAAATAAAATTTCAGACAATTAGTGAATTTATAATAACTTATAAGTATTTTAAGTTAAGACGAGCGGAGTAGTAAAACTAATATTTTTCCAAGTACCCCTGCATTACTCCACTTCGCTCATCAAAACTTTAAATATTCATAAGCTACATGTCCAAAATTTGATTTTTGTTATCAAAGTATAAGTACTCAAAAAAAATATAAATGCTTGTGTTTTTCTAATGAGTGTCATCAAAAAAGGAAAAAATTAAAAAACGATTCACTTAAAAGTATCTTCTTTTAGAAAAATGACTTAAAGTTATGTAAAAGAGGTTTTTTCAAAAACGTTAATAGTTTTTGAAATAACGAAGGTCTCACGTTAATTGGATCAGCCTGTAAGATGCATTATTTTTGGAATCGGATCGTTTGATTCAGTACGTGTGGTGTACTTAGTGTATTTATATATGTATCATTATTATGCTCGTCGTAGGCTGTTAAAATATTAAGTACAGTAGTGCCGCGGGTAACGCGCAACGGGTTTAATAAGGAGGTATAATATTGGGTAATACGTTTATTTATAGATACGCGAGGAGAAATATATGAAAACGAAATGAAATAATAATCATAAAAAAAAATCAGTTTGTATGAAACGAAATTAAAAGAGCGGTCGGAGGAGAGGGAGAAAATACAAGAAACAATTGAATGGGACCCGCCGATCTGGACTGGAATGCAGTTTGCTATAGTGCCCGGAGAACGTCGCCCGCGGCGGCCGGGGGGGTCTATCGCTGGAATGCGGCGGCGGCGGCGGCGGCTGCCCGCGTGTCGTGCGAGTGTGCAGTACACCGAAATGAACGTTTATTCACCGTCATTCGTCAACCGGGGTGAAAACATATTTTTATATACGCCGTCGGGATTTATAGGATATTATTATTGTATGTTATTATATTATTATTTATTATTATTATTATTATTATTATTGTCTAAAAGGAGCATCAAATGTGAGGCCGACCGACCGACTCGTGCAGTGTGTGTGTGTGTGTGTGTCACGTGCATATACCGGCTAAACACATTATTGATAATAATAATAGACCGTACGTTGTAAGGTACCTATTATGTTATTTACGACGAGTTTGCGGACAAACCGGACTGCTGCTGATGCTGCAGCTGTGAGGCCGCGAATTGCGATCCAGAACGCACACCGACGACCGGCAAAAATGGCGCAGTCGCGGCGGCAACCCCGAAAGCGGAGTGAAACTCACGTGTACCGCGGTCTGATTCATTTGACTGCAACAGGTGGCTATACTAGTCTTCTGAGTACATATTATTAGTGATTTAAAAATAAAAATAAAATTTTTTAAGTATATGTATAGTTTGAACTCGTTTTTAAAGTTTTTGAAATAATATTCTGTAAAAACATTTTACGAAAATATTACATATTCAACCGATTTTATAATTTAAGATTTAATTTTGAATATTAATCGAGAGGAGTAGGTTCGTACAGCATATCACAACTTTTGCTGGTCAGTGCAGGTGCCTTTTGTCGTTTTACTCCATTCGTCTGAACCGCAAAATTTCAAACGCTTATAAGTTATAACTAAAAATCTATTTACATATTTAAAGAAAAGTACCTAGTCTGCGCATCTACTAAAATTACATATACATGTTTTCAACAATACTCATACAAAAGTTTGTAAACATATAATATATATATATTAAATGAATACCAGCTACTTCAAAGTTCAAATCATATAAAAACAATTTTTTATTCAAAAACACAAAAATGGATTATACAGACTAATCCTGTAAATGCTGCTAGTAGTTTTATATTTGACCGGATTCTTTAGATTCTTACAGTATATAGTTATAGTATTATTCATATATTTAATATTATATTTTAGTCCCTTGCCATTTGACTGGAAAAACTCACACGCTTAACAGGTCTATCGTGGTTTATAAATTATGTGTATATATTGAAAACATAATATATAATGTGTAACGTGAAAGATATAAGGACACCCCCATCGTGTGCCATAATTATTTGTAGCCGGCTAATAATTTCGGCTTCGTTCCGTCTACAATATAATATGTACAACATAATAATAATAATAATATATATACACGCTGTTACTATTATTATATATACACTTTTTTTTCAAAACGACGTGAAAAGAAAAGGACGGTCGACAATCGCCATAACGCAATGGATACGCTGCACAACCCCTTGCTGCTCCTGCTGCAGGTCGAGATGGTTATCGCCGCGTGGTATAGGTGATTATTAAATTATTTTTTTATATGCGTTTCGATATTGGATAAACTATTTTATATACTCTGTCATTTCATAACGCCATGGTACGTGTGTATGGATATAAGATATATTGTGTGTTCAATACACGTATGTATAGGTACGATACACGGTGCGAGACGTTTCGGCCGAGGGCGGTTCACACGCCAAAAACAATATTACTGCATGTTCGCCGTTTAGGTGCGATTAAATACCGTTTTATTACTCTTCGATAACTCTATAATATTATATATATTAAATATTATTATATAGAAGGCGCAATCGTTATTACGAATTATTAGATTCGGATTTAGATGATCTATATAGTTTTTGGTATTACACTATTTATATCGCCAATGGGTACATAGTACTATATACAATGTTACGCTTAAATTTATGAACAACGGGACCCCCTGGACCTTACTTGGAAAACTTAAAATTTACCAACTAATGACTGTACATTTCGGAATTACATCGACTTTTTTCAATTCTAAAATATGCAAATTAATTGGATCAAACTAAGAATGATTATTGTAATTCAGGCTTTTACAAATGAGAAATGGTAAATCTTAGTAGTTAGTATAGCTTACGACAAACATCAATCTAGTACGAAATAAATAAATATGTTAAAAAATAAAATGTCTAAATTAAATGCATTGAAGTAAAGTAAGTATTTGAAAATAGTTCTAATTTTAGTTTATTTATAAATATAAATGATTTAAAAAATGTATTGTGTCGTTAATTAATCGATTGAATATACAATGATGACATACAGTTATATATTTGTTTAAATGTTGAATCAATGTACATTTGCACCTATATACTACAATATAAGAAAATAAAAATACATTTATTACGTTTTTTAGTAAAGTATTTTTTTCAAATTATGGTTTATTTATTTGCACTATGAAAATGATTATAAATTATGTGATTGCAATATACGATATTCTTTATTAGGGCGTTCTTGACTACCGTGGCATTGAGTTGTATAAAACAGAATTTAAAAATACATGATTTGTTAAAATATTGTGTAAAATATTTTTTTTACTACATTTATATTAATAAATTAATAAAATTAGTTATAATTAAATATTTAGGTAGAACACGTTTCATATACTAATTTCAATTTCATCTCACTTAATTTGGAGTTTGAATATTATTTTTTATACATTGGATTTTTACTAAAAAAAAAATATTTATTCTAATGTTTGCCTTTAACTCTAGTTTGTAAAAACCAGAACTACAATAATTATTTGCAGTTTGACTGAATTAATTAAAAAATTAAAAAATTGGCCAATATAAATTCGAAAGCCCTTGGATTTACCGGTTAAACTTAAGTTTTTCCGGTATTTGTACTTTTATTGTAAAATGTTTATACCTATATGATATATATATAATATATATATATGTATAAATCGATAGGCCAAATCATTTTCAGTATTTTAAAATATTTATTTATAACGTGGTAGTCAAAATAATATACTCTTTTATACACCACTTATAATATAGTCACGTCTAATAATTTAAAGATTTGTGACGGAAACCCAATTTGTACAGAGTAAAACGTAGTATCTCATAATGCATATAATACGGGTAGAAAAAATGTTTCAGAGCGGAAAAACTACAGCTTTTAGTCTACATTAGAAAGTCTAAAGGAACTGCTCGCCTATTGTTATTAAGTTAGGTATTGTTATTTAATATAAATGTATAAAGGTTGATTAAAAATCAATAATGAAATTGGTCTTTTTAAATGAATGAATTGTAATTGAAACTGTAGAATGTAGCGTAAAATATACACTTTATTTTACTTCATTATATATTTTAGTACATTAAATGAAAGACTTTTAGTATAATATCATCCTATTTGTTTTACATTCTGTATCAAAGAAATACTTTTCAAATTAATATAATACAACAAAATTAAGAAAAAAATATTTTAGAAATTATAAAATACAAATAATTAGTAAACTTTTAAATTTAACATTATTATTCATATTTGCGTTCCATAATATACATATTTTTTTAATTTAAAAACTTCATTTCTGAACGTATAATATTTCAGTAGTTTTAAAAGTATTTAAAATTAATTATAAGTAAAATACATGAAACTAATAGACATACAGTTGAGAAAATCTAAGGATTTTAAGTTATTTAAATGTTCTGGTCACGGCGTCGGTTCCGTTAAAGGCTGATGGGTGGAATCTCGAGAAGGGTGTTTGAGGTAAAATTGCTGATGAGCTAGTCGGAATTGGACGAAAGTTTTGTATGAAAATGTTAAGAAAAATACATAACAAATTCATTGATTGAACAGATTTTAGAGATTTATTTGAGAAGTACCTAGCGGGAGTTTCTGTAATTAGGCGAAGGAGGATATTTTGGAAGGCTTGAATGATTTTATGTTATTAGAGTTCTTAACTGAAACCCAGAGGACAACGTCCATAAAAGTTTGGATCGGTATAATGAAATAAACATTTTAAATACATTTTCAAACAGTCCACTATATCGGTGTGTATCACAATGTCTTATAACACATTATACCTAGGCTACTATTACACATATGACGCAATTTAGGATTAATCCCGGAAAATTAGACAGTTTAAGGTCATCCGCACGTGCGCACATACTGCATAGGAGAGTTTTATATTAAATAAAATTCTAGGGATTACGTTAAGTCTGAAAGTGGTAGTGACATAATAAGTCGAGTGTGCAGTTCAACTTCTTGATCTTATCTTCAAGAAGAAAGAACCATGTGAAGCGTCTGTCTAGTTTATAAGATATCATATTTACTATCATGCACATACGTTTTATAAGTGCAAGAGTGCAACAATAAAAAAAGGTGTGACACAACATTTATTAATTCCTCCCACCTACAATTTTCAAATAATTTAAGTATAACTGAATATCAATAAAGTGTTGAATTTAAATTAACCACAAATTGCGAAGCTCTAATATAATAAGCAAAACCCTAACGAAACTTGACCACAACTACACGCGGTAACCAACCACCAACCCAACCCTTAAAAAAAAGGTGTGACCGCGGTCACACCTTTATAGCGTACCTAACTATTCGATTCCACTGGGTGGAAACTATTGATTTATTACGAAAAAATAATGAACAATGAACATGAATAATTTATTAGTATTTAATAATCAAGGTGTATCAAATTGACGGATAAATCAAAAATACGGTACTCGGTCTCTTCCCCAGAGTGTTGTCTATTTACATGTATAAGGTACACTTTGAAACCGCATAAACGCCATAAACGCATAGGAAGAGAATTCAAAATTCGACTCGCTACGGATCGAAATAACCGTTTAATAAATTCATTCATGACCAGTCTTATATAGCGATTTCGGTGACTTTTTTCGCCGATAACATAATGTAGTCGTAAAATTATAATAATAATAGTAAAATATATCCCTAAGGATTTCTTTTCTTTTTTTTTTTACGACCGGTCGCCTCCGCATACATACATAAGCAATAACATAAAATTATGTATACATATTACATATATATTATATATATATATATATGTATAAATAACACACCAGCGGGGGCGCGTGTCGTCCCCGGAGCACGAATTTTGTGTGTATTTTCTCTCTCTTATTTTTCTTATTTTATTTTGTTTTCTGTTTACCTTGCAAGTGATGGGCGGTGGAATTGAGCAGGTCATAAACGTAGCCCGCCTGCGTGGCCAGGTGTCTCTTGTATTCGCTGTCCACCATGTCTATCAGCCGAGCCTCGGTGGCGGCATTGCAACAGCTCTTCCTCGACTGACACACTTTCAGATTGTCTCCTGCAAACACAAGAAAACGATAAATTACTTCCAGAATAAGACATATTCATCGAACGGCACATAAATCCAACGAAATCGGTAATAAAACGTCCTCTGTGTGTACACTGTACATGTATATAGTACTATATATGTGTAGTATACGGTATATAATGTGTATTGTACGTGAGTGTATTTTTCTGTCAGAACCTTCCTGTCATGACGAGGATCCCGTTGTCGGCAATAATAATTCATTGTAATCAACATGTCCGAACTATATCGTTATTATTATTATTACATAGTAAACCATACGCCACTCCGTGGACGGTCGCCAAAACACAATTTTAAAAACCTCGCTACAGTATCTTAGGATGCCGGGGACAGCAGCTGCAGTTTCTATATTGTTGTTGTTGTTTTTATATTTATACATTTTATTTTAACCTCAATCGGCCGCAGCGTTCCAAATTTAGCTAAGTTATACCACTGGTCCCCGACGATCACCAAAATATTTTGCAATTTATATAGGTACAATCCGAATAAATCAATACTGTTAAAATATTTAAATATATTATAAAATTATAATTTTACTAAGTATTATTATGCTTCTAGAGTCTAATCGCTTACATATATATTATAAGTATAAATGTATAATAAACAATACATCCTAAGATACTAATGGATCAATTCATTAAAATTTAATTAATTTTAATCAACGGACAAAACTGTATCAAAATGACTTAACAACACGTTAAGTGTTGCAAGACTGTAACGTCATCCGTAGCTGTACCGTTTTATTTTAAGTTCTTGGATAAAATCCCATTAAAATAATTAATTTACTGAAATTGTGTTTAAGTTTAAGATCCCTCTGACCCATTGCTTTCTGACATAAATATCAATCTAAATCCTTACAAAAACACCGAACGAATTAATTAATTGGGCTGCGAGCCAAAGGTGAACTGGAACTGTACACAACTTGAAAATAGTAATATTTACTTAACACGCTTTAGTTTAATGATCTGAGTGGTTCCTTGAAATAACATTGGTAACATTATACTGTCATTCGAATTTATTTTCATATGGACCAACCAAAATATAAATCAAACGTGTTACACTGACTGAGATTTCCAATGTGATCGTTTGAAGTCATAGTTTTATCGAGTTGAAATTTATAACTCGATAGCCATTAACGAATATTGTCAGCAATATTTTGGACAGGTATTTAATATTATATTGATGAGACAATCAATTCAATTTTAATAAAACGATTAATTATTCATAACGAATAACCCGTTCGCACATATTTAGGAAGTGTGTATGAGTAATACATATTTTGGTCTTAGACTATTATGACGAAAACAGCAAGGAACGCCGATAGCATATTTTAAAACGAACAATTATTATTCTCGTGGATAAGTTAAACATACAAAAATCAATTTTTTTCGACTTTATCTATCTAAGACTTGCATAAGTACCTCCATACCTGTATAAAGTTTTAACCGATGGACGACAATGAATATTCGTATTTATTTATTTTCTTCTCGAATTTTCAAATGATGTCAGTGATTATTTTATCACAATATACAATGGGTACCTAGTTTTCCGCTTGAAAAATTACGTGGGTACCTATATACAATATACGCTATCATTAGTTATTTTTACCGTGATTTATCAAGTGTCGCGCCACTCGCCAGCGATATAAATCGTTTTTGCACCTCGGACAATTTCCTATATCAATTTATTATACGCTATGGTATGTTATTATAATATGCAAACGTTAAGTTACGACTTGGTTTGTGTTTCCGTCCCGTCGCGACGAACGTCCCAATTAAAATTTACAAGGCGAGATGCGAAATAAAAATAAAAAATAAATTAGTAATGCATATTACAAGCCATTGTCCAATGTAATATCATAACAGCGCGTGACATCGGAATAAAAGGCGAGCTGTAATCGTTATCACGTCTCCGTTGTACATTAATATTCAATATTCAATATTATGCTCGAGAATTATTATATGCCGATACCGAATATGTATACTGAAATCGGCTCGTATGAATACTTAAATAGTACACCGACATTATACGGCCGAGTATCGACAAAGGCGAGAGGACGAGAATATCAATACGTCAAATATTATTGAGACAAAAAAAAATTGTACACCACGTGTTCGATGGCAGGACGTGCTGCAGTGTCGACGTCTATTTAATGCAATACATTTTTAACATAATACTGTAGCAGCAGTAGATATTCACGGTATTTGAACGCCCCCTCCCCCATCAATTTCAGCGGCACTGGACGTCCCCCCCCCCTGGACAAAGACATTTCCCACCTGAATCAATACATATATTTTTTTGCACATGAAACGGATAATTAATATAATAGGTTGGAAAATAGGTTCTTTGGTTTTACCCGAAGTACCCATATAATCATATATCAAGGTGTTGACTATCATCATCCACGTTTTTATTGAAGGTGAGTAAATCAAGTGCATCAATAGACATTTTAAATCGTAGAGTAGGAGGTTTCGTAGTAATTCAGATACAGAAGACAGGTAAAAAAAATGATGTGAAAGTTTTTCAAATGATGATATTTTAATTTTTTTAATTTCCGTGTGCTATATTACCAGAATAAAAAGTATAAATTACGTTTTGTTTTACTTGTAAATATTTAATAATATCATATTTATATAAGTATTTATAATTGGTACTTGTACATATTATTAATATATTTTTAATAATTATATTAGTGAATTTTGAATTGGCATTTGGCAACTTTTTGTTTTTTTTCCGGGGGGATTTTGTCCCATTCGGACGGAAAACGTCCGCTGTATTCGAGGCGAAAAAGCAGGAGGGGGGGGGAGAAAGTCCTAGATTCGATAAACACAGATTCGACTTCTGTATACGATACTTCGAAATATTATTGTGTGTTGTAAGTCCTCGAAATCTAAATGGATTAAAAACTATGGCAAACGACTCATTCTCCGCCGCGGAATGTGTGTAGGTTCAAATGCGCATCCCCCAGTAATAATTTATGCTATGATATAATATTATATTGTTATTTACGTTTATCTTTTAATCCGTCCGTCGTATTGTGTATATTATTATAACGTCTGAGTAAAGTTACCGCGAAAACGCGATAGATCAATAAATATAATATTCGTGTATATAATGATATACGATTCATTCGGTCTTTCACGGGTCGTTATATACAACAACACAATATAATAACGCACGTATAATATATTATGTGCGGCTTTTAATTTTCAAACGAGAAAAGGAGAGAGAGAAAAAAAAACAATCGGTACCGAAATTTCGGGCACGAGTGAACGTTGCCGAGAAACCCGACACCCGCCCCACAGTCGAGATGAATTATTATGTCCACAGATTTTTCGGTGTGTGTGTGTGTGTGTGTGTGTGTGTGTGTGTGTGTGTGTGTGTGTGTGTGTGCGTGTGCGTGTGTGATTGTGTGTG